TGGGAAGACCTTCATGTGAATCTCTTTTCTCAGTCTTCTTTCTTGGGTGAGTCACTTCACGTCTCTGAGCCCCCATTTCTTGTTGCATAGGGACAGTAATCAAAATCCACGCTCTCGTTTGTGGCCCTTGGGGACAGATGTGTTTGGGGGTTAAGAGTTTTTCAGACTTGAGTAACAGAGTGCATACAGCGTGTGATACAGGACACCCTGGGGGTCTGGGCCATCCCCCATAATCTGAAGGAAAGCGTGGAGATTTCTGTAGCCAAATGTACAAGGACTCTGAACTACACTAAGGAAGCCGGATCTTCGTGCCAAATGAATTTTTGAGACCAGGTTTTGAAAAAATATTCAGAATTTCAGAGCCGTTTCAGCTTTTTTGGGGCTAAGGGACTCTGGACCTGCGTGTGCGGCCTTCCCAGACAGCGTGGAATCCTCTCTCCGTGGATAACGCCGGCGGCGGTGCGGGGATGTGCGGTGAGGTCAGGAGGCTCCCCCGGTCGGGGTTGGACATAAACACCCTGATTTAAAAGGGAGAGGGTCTCTGCATTGGTCTTCATGCTGTCTACGGTTGAGACACAGGTTTGTGAGAATTAGTTTCCTCTGACAGGGGTGTAGTGTTTAGTCACAAATGCTTAAGGAAGCAGTCGCCGGGAATAGCAATCCAGGAGGCTGTGAACGTGGGGTGGGGGTTCGTCCCAGAAGAGCGCACGGGCCGTGCAGGGCGGCCGGAAGTCCGCCGCGTGGCGGGGAGGGGCGCCAGCAGCTGGTGCCCACGGCTGTACCTGAGACTTGGTGGCGTTTGCTGTCCACTGTAACAGTCACTTCGGCAGGGGTCATTGCCCAGGAACCCCCAGCTGTTTGCAGACAAGAACAGCTCTTTCCTTCCAGACCCTGTTGTCCCATTTCTGTGGCACTTGAGCCGACTCAAGAGCTGTAGACCAGAAGTTAAGAGCATGGACCCTCTGACCAGACTTTCTGGGTCTTAGCCCCCGGACTGACTCTTCCATACTGTAGTAGAGGATCCTTGGTCCTGTGTCTCCGTCTGTGAAATGGGGACGTGCTGTGCCTCCCTGCCCCAGAACGCTGTGAGGATTGATGGCTTAGTGCGCACACAGCCCAGGCCGGTGCTTGCCACAGCAGCAGGTTCTCAGACAACAATATAATTATTAGGGAGGAAATGAGCACAATCATACTTGCCATCATCGTGATCTATCTTGTAATTACAAACAGGGAGTTAAATTAAACAATATGTAATTTGTCCTGCCCATTTGACATTTTGACTTAGATGCTGAGACGGAATTCGTGTTGTGTTGGTGTCTCACTTTGAAGTGACCTTGACCTTGGTGGTGTCACTGTGTCCATTAGAGGGCACTGATGTACAGCGAAATGAGCATGTAGCACAGCATCTGCCCAGAGAGGGAGGTGGCATTGGCCTCCCAGCTTTGCTCTTCTGCCCAGGGACCAGGTAGCCTGTGGGAAGGGATCACTTTTGTCCTTTTCCTCCAATCTAGCAGCAGCACCACAAATCCTGTGCCAGTGTGTTTCTGAGGCTGGGGTCACAAGACGACAGCTGCTGGCTACAGCTGAGGTCAGGGAGGTGGCTGACTGGAAGAGGTTGATGAAGCCCCTGATTTGGAAGTATTTTTATGTTTTAAATGGAAGAGATTCCGTAGGCCTGTCTTTGAGATGCTGTTTGGATAGCTCTATTGGTTTAGGATTCCTTGGCAATCTGAGGAGTGTTCTCAGACTTGTAAAAGAAGCAAAACCTCGTGGGGTATTTGGTTATGAACGTGAGCTGGATTTCATAATTGTCTGCCACTATTTTTTTTTTTTTAAGTGCTTGGCGTTCGTACACTTTTGAATTACTTTCATGTTTGTTGGAAATAAAATTTTACCTGGTATTTACAATTCTGTCTAAAGGAAGCTCTAATGAAAGAAAAATTGTAACTCTGAGCGGTTGGTTCATAGTAGCTTTAATTTCCAACTTTCACTCCCTGAAAGACTTCTTGGGCTTCAAGACCAAACTTTTATTATTTTAAATATACTGTATTTTGTTTCCTCAGCCATTTCTACCAAATAATGTTTACGTTTTACTTTTTGAAATTGTGCCCTTATTTCAAGTCTTTATTGAGTTGCTGGTGATTATCAGATTTGCTGCTTGCAAGTGGCATAACTTTTCTTTAACAGTAAAGTTGAAGAATATACAAAATATTCTATAGTTAAAAAGAAAGATCTTGGGGCGCGTGGGTGGCTCAGTGGGTTAAAGCCTCTGCCCTTCAGCTCAGGTCATGATCCTAGTGTCCTGGGATCGAGCCCCACATCAGGCTCTCTGCTCAGCAGGGAGCCTGCTTCCCCCTCTCTCTCTGCCTGCCTCTCAGCCTACTTGTGATCTCTGTCTGTCAAATAAATAAATAAAATCTTTAAAAAAAAAAAAAGAAAGAAAGAAAGATCTCTTAGCCCTTTCTGACAGCCAGGGAGATGTAGCCTAGGTGTACTTTCGTATCTTTAAGTTCTTTTCAAGCAAAAAATATTTGATCCTTGTCTCCTATGTGGTATTGGCCCCATGCCCAGAGGCACATTCCATTTAACTGTATCCATCCTTGAGGTTGAGACATCTTGAACTTGTCAATGAACATTTCGTAGGAGTGAAACAGGGTCTGTGTTTTATATTAAGAATTAAGAGACTCATGTAAACAATTCAGCAGCTTTATGTCTGCCTTAAAGTCAGGCGTGAATGTAGCACTGTTTACTAATGGTAGTACTGGAGCGCCCGCGCTCTCTCTCTCTCTCTCTCTTACCTCAAGAAAGGAAAATAATGTACACTAATTAAAAAGCAATCGATGGGGCGCCTGGCTGGCTCAGTCTGAGAAGTGTGTGACTCTTGATCTTGGGATCATGTGTTTGAGCCCTGTGTTAGGTGTAGAGATTACTTTAAAAAAAAAGTTAAATTGAAAAACTACAGATAATTATAGCTTGTGCCACCACCGGGCTGTAAATTAGATGGCAGTCTGCCATGCGCTGTAGTTCGGGTGGAGAGGCTGCCCATAGTGCATATCCACCACGCTGGTGTTCATGTGCCTGACATGGACCTCACAACGCCCCCCCCGCCCCCCCGCCACCATCCCTGAGCCCCATGGAAGCCACAGTCCAGGAAGGATAAAGAACTTGACCAAGAACACATAGCCCGACCCAGGATATACAGCAGAGGCTAGAAACGGAGGGTGGAAATGAGTGAGCTCTCAGGAGGACTGGGAGCCAGGTGACAGGTTGCAGGTAGATACACGAAGAAGCACTCTGGTAGTGTGACCCCGAGTGGCTAGCAGATGGGAGGCATTGACAAAAGAGGTTCAGAAATGAGCCGTAGCAGTAAGGTAGGTGTGTGGCTTTAGCCAAGCCTCTGCCGCAAGGCTTGGCCTCTGGGTTCTCCATGCCTGCCCTTTCCCCCCATGCACCAACACCTTTGCTAATTCTGCAGGGTCTTTAAGAGGACCACCAGCGATTTATTCGGGTTTGTAAGCTATTTTATTTATGTGTACTACTAACTTTACTAAACCCTATTCAGAAAGGGTCCTTGGCCAGACCCTTGGCTTCGGAAGGTCGCTGGTTTGGAGTCATCGATGTATAACAAGGCCAGGTGTCCCTGGACGACGACTGGCCCTTACCAGCCGCCTTTTTTTTTTTTTTTTAAACAGTTCTGTCAGTACCACTGATCTCTCTCTACTGCAGGCAACAAAGGGCAAGGGATCCTTTTCATAGCACTGAATGTTAAGAGCTCTTATATTTTGCCATTAGTGGGGTGCCGTGACTGGTCTGCTTCCGTTGTCCCCGCAACCACTGTCCTGGCTGTGCCTGCCCCAGCTGCCGCCTCTATCTGAGATAGTTTTGATCCGTACAGTGTTACCATAGAAATGAAACGCAAAGTATGACAGGTGGCATTCAGCCGTTCGGTAACAAATGTGTTCGAATATTTGAATTCCTCATACTAAAGTTTTAGTTTTTAGGGAAAGATGTCACTGACTTATTGTTTGCTAGTTCTCTTTTCCCCATCAGAAAGGGGCCAAGAGTACATTTGATGGTAATGTAAATATTTTGTTCATGTCAGTGTTCTGTGGTTTCCCAAGTACGAGAGCCAGTGAAATCCTCGGCCTCGGCTCTGAACCTAGAAGCATCGGGCCGCACTGCTTCACTTTTACTCCCATTCTGTATGTGGTGGACGTCAACTTGCAAGAACTTTTATGTAATTAAATTCATGGAATGTTTAGCTTTGACAACAGCTAAGTAGTTTACAGAATAAATTATCCTCAAAGACCAGGACAGAGGCATTGAAGTGTCTTGTTTTCTTAGGTTGTATTTGTATGTTTTCAGTGGTCTAAAGAAGGGACAGAAAAACATTAACTCTGTGGTTAAACTTGAATTGCCTGAGTTGGGAAGCTTTGAGCCTTATAAAAATGTCAAGTTAAATTGGTTGTCTATGGCTTGATAACCACTATCTTATCCAAAACCCACTCAGTTTTGGATGCTCCATTGCGCATAAAATGATATGAGACTTAATCATTATTGCACATAATGTTTATACAGAGACGGACTTATGCTTTTACAGTAAGAGCTGCTGAAAACCACATTGGGAGAGCTGATCAGACATGGTAGATTTGTGTCCAGTTGCTTCCAGTTTTTTCCTTTGCTTCTTGTTTGTTATAGTTTTGACGACAGAATGTATCAGGGCGGGGGGTGGGGGGTGGGTAGGCCTAGCCATCAAACGAGACAGAACATTTTTTTTTTTAAACAGATTTATTTTTTTACTTATTTGACAGACAGAGATCACAAGTAGGCGGCGAGGGATAGGGGAGCAGGCTCCCTACTGAGCAGAGAGCCCGATGCAGGGCTCGATCCCAGGACCCTGAGACCATGACCTGGCCAAAGGCAGAGGCTTAACCCACTGAGCCACCCAGGTGCCCCAGAACATTGTTTTTTATGGCATGTATACCTGTATTTTATTGTAGGTACTCGACTGGATTGAGAACCACGGAGAAGCATTTCTGAGCAAACATACGGGTGTGGGGAAATCTCTTCATCGGGCCAGAGCTCTACAGAAACGTCATGAAGATTTTGAAGAAGTAGCACAGGTAAAAAACCATAGCTTCACTATTTTCTGCCATAAATACCTATGTTGTTGGTTTTGAGTTCGTTTTAGCATTTGAGATGAGTGACCCTTGGCTAGATATGTTTAAAGGTGGTTCAGAGGAGGTAATGCTCAGATTTGAGAGTGAGGTTGTTCTTACCTGCTCAAAAAGATGATTTTGTCTGTTGCTTGGGCCATAAAATAAGGTGTTCTTGACTCAGAAAAATGCCCTGAATGTTTTCCCATACTTACTGTACCAATGCCTATTGACTCATTTGTGAGATTTCACCTGATAGTCAAACAGTAATGGCTCTTCTTGCATTTTTGGAATGAGAGACCAGCATTTCTTGTCCTTCTCCAGTTTTTTTTACATGTGTGTACTTAGAGGATGTAGAGTGTGTAGTGTGTTTAGGGCACGCGATTTGTGAGTTGGAGCATTGGCTGTGATGCTCACTAACTGTGTCATTGGCAAAAATCTCTTCACATTTCTCAGATTAACTTTCTTATCTGGAAAGTAGGCACCGCAAAGGCTTCTGGGAGGAAGTCAGGTGTGCATGGGGTGGCGGGGAAGTCACCCGGGCCAGGGCCTTCCTACAACTTATTATTTGGTAAACGTGCTTCGAAAGAAAGTGGAGTGAAGAAGGGAGAGATGACAGCGTGGGTGTTGTGTGTGTCCGTTCCGTATGATATGGATGTTATAAGGAGGTGTAGGGGAAAAGTTACTTTAAAAAGAAGTTGTCTAGTAGGATGCAGCCAAACTGAAATACATTATTGTAAAACCAAGGAACCTCAAAGACAACGTCTTAAAAACAAAAAGAAATGACAAAACAACTTCTCTGAGAAGGGCTATTAGAAAGATAGTCAACTTCTTGGGACACCGTTGGTTGAGTGAATGACTCATGGTTTCAGCTCAGGTCGTGATCCTTGGGGGTCATGAGGTTGACCCCGCGTTGGGATCTGTGCTAGGTGGGGAGTCTGGGAGTCTCCCTCTCATTCTGTCCTTCCACTGACTCACTCTCTCTCTAGAAAAACAAAATCTTAAAAATAAAGGAGGAAAGAAGGAAGAAAGGAAATAAGGAAGGCCACTTCTCACCAGGAACCACAGGTTCTGGAAGTTGATAGAATAGTCTTAAGGGAAATTAACTCTGAACCTGGAATTCCAGATCCAGTGGAATGATCGTTCAATGATGACAAAATGCAGACCAAGACCGAATGAGTTTACTCCTCAGATGCTTACCAGAAGAACTAAAGCATATAGTTTATTTTTTTATTTTTTATTTTTTAAAAGATTTTATTTATTTATTCGACTGAGAGACAGTGAGAGAGGGAACACAAGCAGGGGGCAATGAGAGAGGGAGAAGCAGGCTTCCCACTGAGCAGGGAGCCTGATGCAGGCCTCCATCCCAGGACCCCGGGATCATGACCTGAGCTAAAGGCAGACACTTAATGACTGAGCCACCCAGGCGCCCTAGTTTTTTTTGTTTGTTTGTTTGTTTTTTTAAAGATTTGTTTATTTCAGAGAGAGAAAAGGAGAGTGCATGTCCATGAGAGTGGTGGGGAGGGGCAGAGGGAGAGGGAAAAGATTCTTGAACAGGCTCCACACTCCACTATCATGCCCGACATGGGCCTCGATCTCTTGACCCTGAGATCGTGACCTGAGCCGAAACCAAGAGTAGGGTGCTCAAATGTCAGCGCCACCCACGTGGCCAAGGCATGTGGTTGAGTAAGAATAATGGAAGCACCCGCTACAATGTGAACACTACAAGAATAGGGCCTTTGTTTTGTTCGTCTCTCTCTCACTGACCCCTGGAACAGTGCCTGGTGTGTTTAAGTGATCAGCAGGTATTTATCAAATGAATTAGTTAATAAAAAGGAAAGTATCAGAAGGAAGTACTGGGATCAAGATTGAGCATAGAAATTGACAAGCATATTTATAAATCTAAGGACTGACCATTTAAAGGTAGGCTTGGAGTAGTTAAAAACAGGACAGCACCGACGTGGGTTTGGGGGCTGGCAGGAGCCACTGCTTTCCTGACACCTGTAAACCTGGGGGCATGTTAGCACTTCAGAGTGACCATGTACAGTCTAGGGATAGGAAGTGTCGCTTCCTAGGAATCCTAGCAGGAAAAGAAACACAGAAAACTGAGTAAATAAAAATTCATGGAAATGGGTCTAGTTGAAGCAAAAGAAACAAAACAAAAATCATGATAGAAATCACAGAATAAGATGTAGTAATTTGTTCATAAGTATCAGTAATTACAATAAATACAAAGTAGATTTTACTTGTAAGGAGACAAAAGATTCTCTGATTATCTCTTAAAAATCATGCTATTGTTTTCGGAGGACACACCTAAAACATAAATACCCAGGAAGTTTCAAAGTATATAACCTATGAGAGAAAGATCCACCAGACAAATAATAACCAAAATAAAACTGACTTACTAATATTAATACTAAGCAAGTAGGTTGGAGAGTATAAAAACATTATTAGAAATAAAGAGGTTCTTCCCTTATAAAAGGAAGAATGTCAACAGATCCAACAACGTGGTTTCATCCGTAAGAGAGAGGAGTAAACCGTACTGTGTGTCCGTAGTTTTGCATGACAGTGTCCAGATGCACACTACTTTGGGGAACTGAATCGGGGCAACTTTTGGGATAACAAAACAGTCTCCATTTAAGTCTTGTTCAGTGAAAACGCCTTCTCTGCATGTCTTCACATAGAGAGTAAAAATGGCAATCTCGGCCTTTCTACTTCTCCATCTCAAGAAAGGAGCAGGAAAGGATGGTGTGTTTAGCAGCCTTGCCTCAGGCAGGATGCATCCTTGGAGCATTTTTCTTGTCTGTTTTATGTGTGGTGTCCCTACTTCGTGCCTGTTGGGAAATATTTTGTCTTCCTGTTGTAGAAGAAATATGGAACATGTGCTCTTATCTCCCCTTCATTTTTTCCATGCGATAAGCTACTGCTGTGACCGGTGTAGTTTGGGATGGACGTGAAATATGTCCTATGAGCAAAGACTTGAGTCACTGAGGAAAGTAATAGGCAGAACTGCGAACAGATGGGCTCTGGAGATGGAACCTGTCCCCTCAAGTAGCACGGTCCCCCACGGCAGTAGGCTGGGCTGCCCTTGCCTCTTCCCACGCCCTCCCACGCTCCCACTAATGGGAGGATGATGGCCTACCGATCGTCCTTGTGTGTCCAGCACTCTGCGGACCCTTCTCCCTTCACTTCCTGTGATTCCCTCCATTCCAAATTAAGGAGGTCTCTGCTGTGCCTAACGCCCTTTCTTTTCATGGTAAACTCATTTCCTCTGGTCTAAGCCATCATCATCTAGGTTTAAGGTCTGAGGTCTAAGACATCAAAGCTGTCAACACCAGTTCCCAGGGGGCAGCAGGAGTGAGAAGACTTTCTCTGTAGGAAACTTTTCTGTCCACAGATTTCTAGGGCAAGCTGAGGGTCAGAGTAGCACCCCTCGTTCAGAGAGAGGCAGATGCTTGTTTGCGCCCACCTCTACCTACTCAGCTGAGTCCCAGTCCTTTCTTATCTCTGCTCATTGTCCCTGGGATCATAAAGGGTGCCTAACCCTCTTCCCTTTACACTGAAATTGCTTACACCCCAAATCTGAGCTGTGCATCAAAAGCAGCCTTGAATGCAAACATTTTGTTCACTTTGTAAACATCTGCACCCACTTTCCCTCCCTCTGGTTTTCAGATACTGGCCATGTGCCGCAGGTTTGGTCCCGACAAACCGTGGCCTTGCTCTTGTGTTTGTAGCTTCCTTCACTGAAGTTTTCTGGCTCTTCCCAAGGGACATAGACTCGGTGTTGGGGCAGCATGGGCGAACGAGGCCTTCTGCCACGGGACCTTCACCACCCGTTCTCCCTGCCCGCCCCCTTCCTTGACTGCCGTCCGGCAAAGCAAATCATAGGAGAGGTGCTTATGGCAGAGATCGAGGTTTACATTTTAGATTTATGGCAGTTTTTGGACAGGATGGCCTTTGGAGGCCCCTTAAATATGTAAGCAGAGGTATTGTCAGTCCTTAGTAAGGAGCTGTATTTCATTCTCTGAAACAAACTCACAAAAGTAAAGTGAATTTTGGGGTTTTAGGGCAAAGAAAATTTCTTTTTGCCATTTTTTTGTTTTTAGGTTTGTGTCTTGATGGGTATTTTGGGAAATCCACTCTAAATTGTCTTCAGTGATCTAGAGTTAGCCATTTATGCAGACAGCTTCTTCAGAACGGTGAGTTGTGGCATGTGATGAAGTAACAGATACAAGAAGGAAGTGGTGAAAGTCTTAGGGTTGAATTCATTTAAAAGGCACTAAATATAGATGTATTATGTGGAGCAGTTCTGGTGCTCCGGGGAGGAGGAACTGCGGAGGAGTCCGGGCAGGTTGGTGGCAGCGAGCTGCACAGCCCTGCGTCCCGTGTGCGGGCGGGACTTCTCACAGGAGCCGCCGGCCTGGGCCTTTCTTCGTTTCCCATGCCACTGTCGCCACGTCAGAAAGCACTGGGCTACATTTTATGTGCAGTTTTGCAGAGCCAAGAGCCTTCTCTCTACTAATCTGACGATCCGTCCCTTCTTTACTTTGTACAGTAATGTGAGTAGCCATTTCCTATCGCATGAATCTGGGCTGACGATTGGATGGGGTGTGGCCTGGGCAACCATGTCACGTGTCCACGCAGGAGCTTTAAAGATGAAATCCGTACTCTCCCCATGGAAGCTTTCTGCATGTGACTGTTGGGAAGGGAGATGCTCTCTGGCAGGCATTTTCTCTTTTACCTTCTATGTAGATATTCAAATTGACATTCCTCTTTAGATAGAAAAAGCTAGGATTCCAGGAGCTGGTAAAGCCCACAGAACTCTGGTTCAAGGAAGAAGTCAGTTTCCAGAGCACTGATTTCTCGAATACAATCAGTAAATCTCTGCCATTGCATCTTCCCACAGGCGGGCATCCTGTGAGCGCTTACGCTACCTTCCCTCCCGACTGCCTGTCCCCTGAGAGTCC